TTYWWMAAAAAWRATGATGATGATGATGATGAAAAAGRCTTGAATAGGAAAAGGAGGACCACTTCCTCTATCTTGGAGGGAGGGTGGTAAGAAATGGATGTATTCAGGGAGAGCTCACTAGGAAATGGAAGGCTTTTCATATCCCCTGGCCTGATTTTGAGAATGAGAATATGATCTGCTGAAAGTAAAATTGTGGAGGGCAAATGAAACTGGAGGAGGGATGGGACCAGTCACTAGGGAAACCAGAAATCGGCAAAAGACCATTTCTTGGTGACCAGAGACAAGTTAAAAGATTAGCAGAGTGCTACTAAATGCCCAAGGAACATAGGGAGCCATCTGTTTCCAGTAGTGTCAGTCTGTACATTTGTCACAGCATGAAATGCTATGCAGTTGTTTTACTGTCCTATTTTACAGATGAAGGAAATAAGTGTATCCTAGTTTTGACAAGTTCTAGAACTTTATAAAGAAACATAAGCTATACTTATTGACACCCTGCYATTATACCTAAATAAATGTTTTTATTTTTCTATTAAATCATGTATTTTAAGGGGAAAACAATGGAATCATTTTTAAACTTTTAGGATATGTTCTTCTTTAAAAGTACTTTAAGTGGCCTAGCATGTGTTAGGCCTGGGTTCAATGCCCAACACTGGAAGAAAAGAAAGAAAACCACTTAAATGTATTAATTAGTTAGCTCCTTGAATATTCATGATTTTTATTCCTAAAACCTCTAAGTAAGGATTTAATTAAGTACCAAATGTTAAATTTGTCCAAAAATTTAACATTTAACATTTGTTTAAATATTTAACATTTTAGTTTTGGTGGTTGTTTTTTTTTTTTTTTTTCCGCCTTTCCAATAAAACTTATTAGTTCTTCTCCTAGTTCACCATAACTTTATCTAGGGCACTTAGCTGGTCAGAATCTCAGTTTATTAAAATCAGACAAGTCATCTAGAAAAATCAGGTTTTCTTAACTTCCACCTTCTACCCTTCCTAAATTGTGCCAGAATTTTGTACAATACAGTACTGAATGTTTTCCCCTTTGACCACCAGAGGGCACTTTGGAGCCTGCCATCTATTGCGGTGGTAGCCACAAGTAACAAATATCACTTTTTTTTTTTTTAGTATTTATACTGTATTTTATTTCACTTTGTATTTTTTCAGCATTTCATTTTAATTTGTCCATTTATCTTTGCCATAGAATGTTCACATATATTCAGCACATGAATTGACATTAAAATCATAATTTATATTTTAATAAACTTCTGTATCCTTTGTATAATAGCATCAAGTCTGTTTATCATTTTTATGATAGGCTTGCTCATTGATTTAGTTATTTTAACATCTTTAATATTTATTTCAGGATAGCATTCACTTTGTTGCCGATAGTATAATAAGAAAATCATTGAAACGAAGGATGCTGAGACCAATATACAGAAATAAAAGGCAGTTTTTCCCTCGATTAATGAAAATTTCCTATAGTTAATTCATCAGAAGTCTGTTGCCTTCAGGYTTATTATGCTCTCTGCACTTGCTATAGTGTAGACTTTTGTAGCAGAGGTGTCTGAGGCAGAAGGTACACCACSCTTCTTCCCATTGTGTTCCCACTCATGTTGTGTCTGATAGGACAAATCAGAAATTCATCCCTTGCTGTTTTTGTGTTCTACTACAGCATTAATAACCAGGCCTAGGGACTCACCTTTTAAAGAACTGAATATGAAAGAAATTCTTCAGAAAGTGAACACTGAAGTCTATCTTCTATTAGTGTGAAGGGATCGAGGTCGTTTAGTGTTCAAATATTGTAAAAATAGTAAAATAAAACAAGTATAACCTTTTTTCTATAATTAAGCACTAAATAAAACTACTGTGCTAAAACCCTTCCTGTTTTACTAATAGGAACAACATGCCAGAATTCCACAAATTAAAAACAAAGTTGGTAAAGAAGAAAGGATCACGGGCATATGCRTGCCAGTGTAGCTGGAGAACTGTTGAAGAACTGACCAACCTGCAGACAGATCATCAGCTTCGCTGGGTTTGTGGTAAACATTGAGACTGCAGCCTTTGACATTCTGACAAATGCCTCTATTAGGGCAGCCTCCAGCCATCATCATGTTTACGTAAAGGCACATATCATATTATGCCATTTGGAAAAAGACAGTGAATTTCATTTAACTATGTAAATTTTTGAAGATCAAATGGACTAGGGAAGAGAATATAACACTTTAAGAATTAATCCTTTTTGATGATAGATGTTTCACTAAGTAAGATAACAGATATCCAAATTCTTTGCTCACCTATCTCCTGTTTAATGATAGCATTTCATACTAACATATAGGCAGCCTTTCATTAGCAACCACTGCATTGACAGCTCAGACACTTGGTGTAAACATTCCTTACTTAGAGCATTTAAGGGGATGGAGTTTACCAGGGCACAGAGTCACTGTAGGATTGGTTATGGCACTTCCTCCAGTCACTTCTGTTGTTGTCAAAAGATCATAACTTAGACATCTCAAAAACTAGATGATAAGCAGCTAACAGAAGGGCAGTCAGGAGTACAGGTATGTTATAAAACACTGCCTTATACCTCAGCAGCTCAAAGCAGCGTATGCACAATAATGACAAGTATGTGTCACCAGTTTTAACTTATTTCTCCTCCTTTTGTTCATTTAGAATTTAAAAGTTACTTAGCAAATATCCATTTATATATATAAAGAATTTTTTTCAATGTACATAAAATCACAARAATCCTGATATAGGTAGGTCATTATTGGATTTTCAAGTACTCTAGCCTTTAATGCCTATGATTCTGTCAATTGAGCAAGTAAGATGATTTTTTCAGGCRAGTACATGAAAAGGGAAATAAAGCAGGTATCATGTTGGGCTCCCCCTTGATATCACTGAGCAACATGTTTAGAAAATCATTAACCTCAAAGTTTCCAGTTCCCAGCACCCTTGAGAGATTCCAAGGGCCCTGCAATCTGCCAAAAACTCTATACCACAAGTGTATACAATTTAGTTCAAATGTGTAACACAGGACACACTGAAAGGGAGTAATTTTTAGCAAAGTTATGATTTCTTGGTCTTAYGCTGACTCCATTCCAGCCACTCTTCAAAAGCAAGGAATATCTATCTATTCATTAAAAGCCTTTTGCTAGCCATGACACATTTGTGTATTTATAAAACTTATATAAGTCTATCATTGAAATAAAACAAATCTCCTCGTGACCAATGCTCATATTTTTGTATCAAGGACATGTTTATAGATTTTATCTTTCAATAAAATTTTTTACTCCCCAAAACTATTTGTCATTGTAATTGTGTCAGAAATATAATAGGATTTAGATTGAATTCATCTATTCCAAAAAATTACAAAACAACAAGATTCATATTCAAAATCTCATGGGATTTGTCATATTAATCATAAGGGTGATGACTTCTATTGATTCCAATAAACAAATTTACTAAATCATCAATTTAAAAAATATTTTAACTTATTTTCATTTACATGGATGAAAATGTCTCTTTAACTTTTTCTTTTTCATTGTAACTATCCTGAAACTTGGACACATTACCTGTGTTTGGCATCCCATAACATAATAATCATAATATAATTCTGTAATGTCAGAAATGTCTCTATGAGTTTCCATTTTTATTGGGAGTTTATAAGCCTTTTAGTATTATACTATTTTAATCTAAAATGTAGAAAGAATATTACATTTATATATAATTACCTATTGACATTTAAGCTAAAATGCATCTACTTTAGTGTCAATATATAAGAAAAGCGTAGTTTCTAGATAACTACAATCTTAAAATGTAAACTCTATAAAAGTTTTAAGATATTCCTATTTTCCCAYCTTTAGCAAGTATCTGTTGTAAAGCCAGGTAACTACTTTCTTTGAACTGTAGTATAGTCTCAGACCTCATGCTGCCTAAAAATGAGTAAATAAATAGCTTTATTCTGTATTTGTTACTTTCTATTTTTTAATATTCACATGGGTATTATTTGAAATAACTTTGGTATTTTTTTAATRTCAACAAGAAAGTTTCCAGCTATCCAGTTGAACAATTTATTTACATTAGGTAGGCAGTAGCATGCTGCAATTTTTTTTATTAAAACAAATAACCAATATTGAGATATAATAGATACACYATAAAAAATGTTTTACAATTTGTTGGTTTTAGTATATTCACTAAAATAATTGCAGCCATAATCACTATTTAATTTTTGAACCTATTTTGGGACTCTTTTTTACTGTTTTTGTCCAGAAGCTCTAGAACAATGCCAAGTCTCTTATTTTTTTTATTTAATTATTTGTTCTAATTGCTTATACCTGACAGCAGAATGCTCTTTGATTAATTGTACACAAATGGACCAGTTTTTTACTTCTCTGGTTGTACTCAAAGTAGGGTCACACCGTTTGTGCAATCATACATGYATTAAGGGTAATGATGTCTATSTCATTCCACCATCTTTCTTACCCCCCTGCCCCATGCCCCTTCCTTTGCGCCCTTTGCCCCATCCAAAGTTCCTCCACTCATCCCATGCCCCACCCTGCAATTATTTTTTAACAAGGATAAGGAATAAACACGTGAATTTTCAGACTGTTGATCCATTCATTACATTGGCATTTCCTAGTATATTTGAATCTATCCATACTCAACAATACAACASTTTTTTTTCCAATGTGTACAAAATTTATGAAGTGATTAAAAACCTGGTGGAAAAAACTGAGAATGATACCAACAACATCAAAAAATAAACCTAGAACAACTCAAGTCCCATGAACAGTGGAATGGGTGAGAAAACTGGGTGACATACACTCTCACAGCAGYAAATGTGCATGCTGCAAATTTAAGAAAGAGTGGGTGTGTACTTGTACCTGTGTGTACATGCGTTCATAAAAAAGCATGGTTAGTCAAAGGTACAGGTCCTAAGTTCAAGAACAGAGTAGGTTGATGTGATACATATCCAGATGTCAAGAAACTTAGAATCCTTCTTTTCTTGGCCCAAAGGTGGTAGCAACCTGTGAATCAGTATCACTTTCCCTACTTTTCTTACTGACCTCTAATATTTTTCAATATGAAAAAAAGAAAAGTCTTTGTTTCCAAAGTACTATGATGAAGTTCAGCAATAAATTTCAAATATTGATTTTTGTTTCTCAGCTGTTAAGGTTTTGTTTTTTTTGTTTAGTACTGGGGATTGAAACCAGGGCCTTGCACATAGTGGGCAAGAAGTCTAACACAAGCTAAATCCCCAGCCACCGTTTTTGGTTTTTTTTGTTTTTTTTTTGTTTTTTTTTTTTTTTTTTGAAGAAAGGATCTTCTCACTCAGTAGCCCAGGCATGATCATTCTACCCTCCTGCCTCAGCCTCATAAGTAGTTGGGATTACAGGCTTGCACTATCATGCCCAGCAGGTTTTAGGTTTTAACAAAATCTTTTATCAGATGACATTCTATTCCCAGTAATAAGCTCTGTCTGTTTAAAATAGTTCTGAAGYAATGAAAAAGTTCAAAATACACAATATCTTTAAAGGGTTTACTTCATATTATTTTGGGTTTGTGAAAYAATTTTGTGCCTTGTTTTAATAATTAAATTTGTCTTTCTTCAAATGTCTTAAAATAATGGATGACAAAATGAAGTTAAGCTCATTGGCAGAAWTGCAAAACAAATACCGCTCTTCCTACTATATTTGTGTTGGAAAATATAATTATTTTTCTAAAAATTTGATATTTATATATATTTGTAATGTAATAAATATTACAGAATCACACACACACAAACAAAAAAAAACCTCTTTGGGATTCATAATAATTCTTAAGAGCCTAAAAAGATATTGAAACTAAGAAGGTTGAGAATTATCATACACAATCCTGATTGTCCTCCTACTCACACCACACCCCTGCTTAAAAAGGTGTGATTTCTCCCCCTTCCTTCTGCCTTCACACTTTCTATTTCTCATATAATATCTTTCCTTGTGGTTATTTGTGTGCTTCTGTATTGTCTTAGACATTAGACCTCAAACTCTTTAAAGACTCTGTGCCATGGGGAAACTGAGACAATTATGCCACTAGCTTCCTGGGGCACTGTAAGCCACTGTGTCTTTGGGTTCATCTGCAAAACAAGAATTGGATTTAATGACATACAAATTGWTATATCATGTAGTCATTTGGTAATATTTTTTCTGATTATATAGATCTTTCAAATACTGTCACATTTCATTATAAAAAGTATTTAAAAAAATCACTTGTTACTGTCACCACTAGTCTCATCAGGAAAGAATTTACTTATTGGGGAAGCTGTCATGCTCACTGTGGTAGATAGAAGTTTTCCAAAATTCTTATTTTGGCTTACAATACTGTCATTTATTTATTGGGAAGTGAATCACTTTATTAAAATGATATGAATACTGTTYCTCTAAAAAAAAAACACTTTGGTGGGCTGAGGATATAGTTCAATGGTAGAGCACTTGCCTAGCATGTGCAAGGCCCTGGGTTCTATCCCCAACACCTTCAAAGAAAAATTTAAATTTTAAAAATACYTCCATGAGCCCAGCATTGTGTGAGCCACATCTTGGAAGATGTGGTATGTGTAGTGGGGAAGAGACTAGAATCAGAGATTAGAGAGACAGGGAGACAGGGGTTTTCTAAATGACATCAGTTGTGTGCTCTCAGTGCTTYCAGTGAGGGGAGAAAAGCAGGGTAGCACTTGCTCTTGAGATGAGCAGGGAGTTCTCACAGTCACAAGTCAGTGCCTCCTTACAGGGGACAGGCATGTAAGTCAGGTAGAGAGAAGTCATTTCTTCCTCCTTGTAGATGATTCTTAAGTTGTCCTCATGAAGGCTAGARAGTTAATAAGGAACCAGGAGCATTTTTWAAAAAGTAAAAGAGCYRGTGGTGTATGCCTGAATCCCAGTAATTCTGGAGGCTGAGGCACATTTAAGGCCAGCCTGAGCAACTTAATGAGACCCAGTCTCAAAAAAATAAAAAGGAAAGGGGATGTGGTAGCTCAGTGGTAGAGAGCCCCTGGGTTCAATCCCTAGCTAGTACAAAACTAAAAATAAAATAATAATAATAATAATAATAATAATAATAATAATAATAATAATAATAATAATCAGCATCATACTGCTTTATGTGTTTCAGGAAATAGATTTGTCTTGATTTTCACATTGAATGTGGGCAAATAAAATGGTAAGAGCCAAACCTATACTAGTGAGATAAGTAGGATTGAATTAAGAACTAAACCTGTCCCATTTAGTCCCACAGATACAAACTGGACTAATTAGAAGAAGCAGTTGAGAGAACAAGATGACACACACATTTTTCACGTGACACATATTCCATGTGTGGCACTCTTATTTAGGAAGWCTGTTGAACTCAGGAATGACATCCCACTCCGAGAATGAAAGGGAGTTATTCCTAAGAAGCTCTGTTCAGTCAAGGCAGGGTCAGGGCATGAGGAGTTCACTTACCATGAGATGGACCTTCCAGAAGGCATAGAAAGCAGAGTTGTTCAGAAGGCGGCAGTTGGGGAAGGTGGGGGAAGCAGGAGATGGGAAGAACAGAGCATTATTGAGAGGAAAGCCTGGATGGAACTTATATTTCAACCAAAAAGATGACAGGGATCAAAGCCATGGGGGCATTGACCTGCTCAAAGATTTAACTAAAACCGGTCTCTACTAGAAAGAAGARGGTTTTGTGGGTATGACATAGGCTCAGACTCAGACTACTAGAATATAGTTTGTTGAGGYCGGTGGGAGGGGTAGGGGTGGAGGTTGCTTTTTGTGTTGTTTTTCCTGGTAGATTGGTTTTATTTTKCATCTAGGCCAATAGACTACCTCCTTTGCTCTCAATTGTGAATAGAATTGATTTCAATAGGATCTAAATTGTTAAGAGACTGTATATAGTTCATCTCTGGCTACAGAAGTACACAGCATCCAAGAGAAAAAAACATGGCCTGAATATAGTCACTGTCTAAGACAGGCAATGAGTACATGATCGTGGGGCCTAAGGACTCTTTCTTATGAAGGATTTATTCATCAGAACAAATTAGTATCGAGGGACTGAGAGGATTGCAAGTCAGACAAAGAGGGATGGAAATACTGAGGGCCCAAATATCAGTTTTGCTGGAAATCAAAATCAGAGGAGAGGCAAGAAAGAGGGACCCGTGCAATAGTTTGGTATTATTCTTACTTACACATAAAGAAACGAAGGCACAAGGAACCAAAGTCATGCAAGTTGT